AATTTTTAAAACAACCACTCCTCTAATCCTAAGTCAATGAACTCAACACAACTTAATGCTTGAAGCTCAACACAACCACCTTAACAACTTAAAAACATCATATAAATTAAGCAACTTACAACAATAGGCAACTTATAACAATATGCAACCTACAACCTAAATAACTTAATACAAAATACAACTTTCAACATGATCAACTTGAATCATCATCATATATCATCATAGATCAATATATAATGACTTACATTTAATCTTCATCACGTAAACAACCAACTCAATAAGAAAAGTTGAGAAAATTTTAAGTTAAAAAGGAAAATAGATACTTCAAGCACCCTAGACTCGCTTGAAGCGACAAAAATTCACTTAGAGCGACAAAAATTCTCTCAAAGCATATACAACAAGCACTTTCAACAAGTTAAGTAAGATAACACCCTAATCGACCTCAATTGATCACTTTGAGTGACCCCATGGACTCTAAGCGATCGAACCCAAAAAACATGCATGAATCCAAAAATGAACACAACAACTCGAGCACAACATAACAACCCCCTAAATTCTCTCATCCAACTACAAGATTCATACATGCAACTTGGAAATAGTCATCTATTATCATCATACAACTCAAAAACTAAATAAAATGCCATATGCAACCATCAAGCGCATCAAGATCATCAATTTCTTCATTCTTCACCAAGAACACCAAGAATACCAAGAACACCAAGTTCTATCCTCAATCTCAACTTCAATGCTTACCAAAACATGAACCAACACAACAAATACATCATACAAAACTTAGAAACTCAAACTAAAAGCTTATCTTACCTCTGGAATCCAAGAAAATAGAGGAAAAGAAAGAAGAAGATGAGTTCTGTATTCTCACTTTGCACCTACTCCGATTCTTAGCTATGCGGGCTTCAAATCACCACTTCGTTACTTAACCACAAATTTCTACACTATCAAAAAGGTTAGGTAGAAGAATGAATAATCTTAGGATCCAGAGTTTCTTTCTCTAACTTCTGTTTAAAATTATAGAGTTATGAACTTATGAAACTTATTCCTTAGAATTCGTATTATATACCTCATGCATGTTCTACCCAACTCTAACACACTTAAACTATATCTTCTATAACTTAAGTTTAGAGTTATCACAATTCTAACTTTTATCCCACAAAAAATCACAAACAATAAAATAACATAAAATATATTACTTAATTACAATTATTTGCATAAATATAAGAAAGTATGGTGTTATAGTGGAGGTGTAAAAACTAAAAAGTAAAGATATTATTTAAAGTGGTAATATAAAATAAAAATGTTTTTTTGTTAAATTTTATTTATCTATATTTGTCTCATTACCTATACAAGTTATATTGATCATTATAAATTTTTTATTTTTATTTTTTTAAAATAGATTTTATTTTCAACTCTTGAATCATTCCTTGGCAAACGTGAATATATGTGGCAAAAAAACTATATCCTTTAAGATTTTTCAAATTCGCTTTTGATTTTTCAATTTTTTTGGTATAGAATTAGTTTTGTAAAAATTAAATAAGTTGAGTTCAATCTGTAAGAGATATTAATTCCATCTTTTTTGTTGGTACATAAGATTTCTTCCATGATAAACACTCACATGTATACAAACATTGTAATAGTTAATAAAATAAAAATAGATTGAATTATATCTAATGCCCAATGTGTCAAGAAATTTTTTCAAATAAATGAAATTAGTATCCCTAAAAAATTAGACTTAGTTCATTATACTTTTAAAGGTCTATTTTAATAGTAAAAAATTATGAAGGACCTAAAATGAGTTTAAATTTTTTAATAATTTTTCATTTGACATACATATTTTCATTTATCGAGTGAAATATTGTTGCTAATGGAATTACTTAAAATGGTTGACTTCAACATGTCCTTATTTTAAAGAGACTAATTTAATATAAAAATTAAAATATTAAAATAAATTTGAAATTTTTTAGAAAGAATAAAAATTATTTTTACCCAAATATTTATCCAGTTTCATGAGTTTTTTGGCGATGTATTAATCACATGCAAGACTTTTGACTAGAAAGTTTCAAAATTAAAAGGTTAACCAAAAAACTAATAACAAAAAACCATTTAACGAACAAAAGGTGATACTGAAATCAAAATTGATTATTGTAACAACTTGTCATGGTCAATACACTTCATGGAATCCTCAAATAGTAACAGAACTACTCATATTCTTAAGATTTTATACTCACTTTATATGGATATGCATACTTTGACATGTATATAAGTATAAATGCAACTAAGAATAACTCTATAATTATATATCTTATATGTCCATTCATCCAATATAAAATAGTATAGAATCTTAAGTGCCAATAAAACACTACTATACAGACCATCAAAAGCAGTCCAAGACCATACTACACTGCCAAAATGAGCTTACAACATCTCCTAGCAGTCCACTCCAGCTAACCCAACACTGCTCCCATGAAAATCATGATCATCGTAATCTAAACCACATGAAAAATATGCAATGGTAAGTTAGATTTTAAAAATATACCAGTATAGGAATAACATATCTATAAACACCTTATAGCATACAATAATCACCAAATTATCTTGTTTGTAAGCAACACGCAGAGCAGTTCAAACACTCACCACAAGCATACCACACAACAAGGTAATCATTGAGTACATATAAACAACGATCAACTCAACCCACATCACATGTACACATACCACAACTAGTGCATCATTATGCATTTACCTAAGAAAATCTCCTAATACACCTAAGTAGTCTAAGTGACTCGATCTTACCGAATCAACTCTAATCACTTTCACGCCATATGCGCCCGTTGAAGCCACAACTAAAATGGGATACCAATCCCTCCTCTGATTTCTCGGGTGTAACCAGTTACACTAGAAAAGTTCGATTCAACAATTGGGTATAAGCATACCACGATCTTGTCATGCATCACCGAGTCACATGTGGAGTTAGTCTATTGGTCATCCTCAAGGAACCACACAACCTTTCCAAGTACTTAGTTAATGGTTGTAGCCATCGACCTCTTACCTTACTCAACCACTAACTAAGGATCTAGAGGAGACTTAACAGACATAAAAAATCCCACTCCAAGAGACACACCTACTCAAGGAAGGTTTTCCAATAGTAGCCTACCCGAGCACCACTCCAAGATACCGTATGTGGGATCTTCAATTTTCAAAATAATTTCCTCTCCTCGAGTCCTAAGTTAGCCAACATGCTTTAATGTTACACCGCATTCTTAGCATCTATACCTCACCATACATCTACTATATACATCCCATCCAGTCAATACATATAGATGTCAACAACATCAATCATGTATAGCATACCAATGCTCAACACCTCAACCAAGAATATCATATCAATACTTAATAATTCATTCAATAATAGCATATCTATCATACATAGCATATCAATGCTCGTCACCATTTCAACTACACAAATATAGCATACTAATTCTTATTATCATCATCCTACATTATTCAACATGCAATAAACACAAGTATTTTACTTACGTTCACCAAATTCACCTATCATACAACATGTATCAACATACAACTTATCAAAATCACTTATCGTACAATGATAACCTTCACATAAAACGTACAATGACAACCTTCACATAAAACAATACATAGGAAGTTACACTACTCATATTATGCTCATCCTTATACTCATAGGAAGTTATACTACTCATACCATGTTGAAAATTATAAAAATTGTCATAGTTTGCCTAAATGTTAACAACTTGACCTTGACTCACTAAAAAAGTCATAACTAGAGTTCTAAACCTTCTTTTTTAGGTGATTCTAAAGCCGTATGAATGCTAACATCCAAGACTACAACTTTCATGAAGAACCTAAGACCAATTTTTTGGTCATTTACCCTTGTCACTCCAATGCTCAATCTGGCACTTCAGTGTTGGATTTCTGCCAGCCCGATTTTTCCCATAATTGTAGTGCTCAATTGTAACTGCAACGTTAGATCTCTCTAGTCCAATTTTTTCCCATAGCCGCAGTTGTAGTGTTGGATCTCTATCAGACCCTATTTTTCATCGTTGAAGTGCTCATATTACTGTTATAGTGTTGGATCTTGGTTTAAACCTCTTATTTGGGAGTATTTTCAGTGCTTTAGCGCTGAGTGTAGAATTTTTTTTGCATATTCATGACTTCCCCTTCCTTTCTCACCTACACTTCACAAATTTTCCTCTTAAATACCATCTACAACTCATTTTCATTACCATATTCATACATGCAACTAAAAAATTCCATAAAATACCACATGCAACCATCAAAGTATCAAGATCAACCATTTTTACCCAACTCATTTAAGAACATCCATGACCCCAACTGAACATGCAATCTATTTAAACTCAACCAACTCAGCCACAAATCACGTTTTTGATGATGATCCAACCACATGCAACTCAAAATATAACAAAGATTCAAGTTTTATCTTCCCTTACCTCGATTTTGAGCTCTCCAAGGAAGAAGAAGAAGAAGAGAACAGAGAAATCTGAGAGCCTCAACTACCTAAATGAAGAAAAGAGAAAGAGGGAAGAAGGAGTAATTCCGAGATCGACTCTTCTAAGTCCAACACCACTATGTCCTGACCTGACTGAGCTCTAAGGTCGAAAGACATCATTAGTCATCACAACTTGCTTCCCTTCTTTCATGGGTCAATCATGGAGAAGAAAGGAAAAAAGGAACACTTTAGCCACAACAACACTCACTCTTAAAGTCGAGGAGAAAAAAGAAAGAAAGACTCGGTGTTACAATTATTCCGGTCAATTGTCAATTAACATTTATGTTATATTTCGTATATGTAAGAAATTTGATATAATTAAAATAAATACACGTGATTCTTGGTCAATATTTCGCAGTATTTAGAAGAAGAGAAAAACGATAACTCAAATTTTCTCCTTCTCTAGCATAACTTCTCGATCAGTAGGGAGAAAAACAAAAGAACAAATTTGACCATCTTTTATTTTGTTTTTTCCAAAGTGAAAGAAATCTACGCAAATGAGTCGAAATTCATCAGAACTGGAAAACGAAACTTTACAATGGTAGTTTTCTTTTGCATTAGTTCTATCATTAATTTTACATCTATATCTAAAACCATCCCATCTCAAATATGAACAGTTTTAATTGGGAGGATCCTGCCAATAAATGCATTAGCCATTTTTCGTTTCTCTTAACAAAAAAATTCCCAAATTAACAAAAGAATTTCTTAAAATTAATTTTTTTTTCTTTCTCGTCATTATCTTTCATGGGCCAAGGAATCGGACTTTTGTTGAGTTCTTCTGGCGTTGCGCAACTTGAAGAAACTGTAAAACTTGCGCGAATCCTTAACCGTAGGGAAGCCGTCCCCATCACAAAGCGCCCTTTCGTCCACGTCATCACACTCTATCTGCCGTCCGATCGCGTACCCAAACCTTCTCCCATCACCGTCCGTTTGCAGGGCCCCGATTACCGATTTTATGGCCCGACTCGGCGAGTTCCGGTTGGCGATCATCAACTCGCCGATCTCGGCGTGGCTGAGACTCGCGCCGAGGCGGAAAATCTCCTCCACCCGCGCGAACAGCTTGTGATCCTTCAGGCCGAGGTAGCTACTCGCCAGCGTCTTGAACGCCGAGAAATCGCACACCGGAAAGTGAATGTGCACGTCGACCCGACCCGGCCGAATCAGTCTCGGGTCGGCGCTCTCCTTGCTGTTCATGGTGAACACCATGACCCTCTCCTCGCCGCAACACGCGCTCAGAATCCCGTCCATGAAGCTCTGGATTCCCGTGGCGCTCACCGCCGGCGACGATTCCGCTTCCAGGAAGCGGTCCAGATTCTCCACCACCACGATCGACTTCGCCGTCGTTTCCATGAGGAGGAACTTCAGATCCGAATCGCCGTGAATCCGCGAGAGGTCCACGTCGTACACGTCGTAGTGGAGGAAGTTCGCCATCGCCGCCACGAAACTCGATTTTCCGGTGCCGGAGGGACCGTACAGGAGGAAGCTCCGCTTCCACGCGCGGCCGAGTTTCCGGTAATACTGCCTCGCCTTGAGGAACGATTCCAGATCCGACTTTATCTTGTTCTTCAGATCCTTCTCCATCGCCATGGTCTCGAAAGTCGCCGGATGAGTGAACGGAACCGATCTCCACCGCGTTTGGGCGGCACCCGCAGCGGCGTTCATGTACAAGCGCAAATGGCGCTTCCCTTTGTTCTCCATCTCGTCGGCGACGGCGTGGATGTGGCGGAGATAGGGGTGGAGGATTCGGCGTTTGTCGTTTTTTCTTATTTTGAGAACGAAAGAATATGAAATCCGGTCGGGTTGGGTTTTTTGGTTGAACCAGAATAGCGTGGCTCCGAGGAAAGTGTCTTGTATGGTTTGGTTGGGGTCGAGGCGCAAAACGATGTCGTTTTGGTTGGAACCGGTAATGAGATTGGTGTAGTCAGCGTCTTGGATGGAAGGAAGAGAATGCAAATAGAGAGAAACTCTGTGGTAAAGCTGATTCCGCTGCATGCCTTCGTTGAATTCGGGGACTTTGAGGAACTGGTACACGTGGAACCAATCTTGAAACCTTCTCGCGAGTTTCTTCACGGCGTGTATCAACCCCGTCTTGAACAACAACCACCGAATCGTGAAACAAACGACCACACTGAGGGTAACCAGGAATATAAGGTTGTAACGAGTCATGACCGTCGAAACTGGGTTTTCGTGTCTACTGTGCCTGGCTTCACGAAGGAGGAGAAGTTGTGTTGTGAATGTGTGTGTGGTTTTTAGGACAATGGATGGGACTCTCTTCTCCTTCCTCTTTCTTTCAACCTACGTACGTGTGTTCTATATCTATTCAATTCAACGTCTACGTGTTTATTATTATTTCAACAAAGTTTTGGATTTCCATTTATATAACACATTGTGTCACGTAAGTTGCTTTGTTTATTATTTTCCCTTTCAACACGGAATTAGGTGAAAGAACCACCAAAATTTGTTTCTTTTATTTCTTATTTAGTTTTAAACAAATTTCTTAGTTTTCTTTTTTGTTTTCATGACAAAAAATAAATAGCTTAATTTTGATTCATTAATTAGCCACGTAAGTCATGTGCTGCCACGTCATTAACCAATCTGGTACTTGTTAATAACCCACTCAAATTAAGTTTAATAAATATTATGATTATTATTCTTGTAGATAAATATGGAAATATTGACTCAAGTAGTCAAGGAAGATGTATTTGGTATGAAACTTATTTATAAATAATCAGAAGTAGTAATATTAATCCCCTATTTAAATTATATGATTAATATTTCCTTTATGCTCTTAGTGTGAGAGATATTAGATACCAAGAGAGAGAAAGATATTAAGCAATTTGATACTTATTAACAATGTATTATGTATTCAAATTAAATCTAAAAACAATTAAAATTATTATTCCTTTTTTAATACTAATGAGAAACCAAAAAAAAACATTTCATCCCCGTTAGAAAAGAGAATAACAAATCTCTCATGGCAGTGTTTTTTTTTCTTTCTAAACTTTTCAGACATTTATGTAGTTATTAGAAATTATGTATTATTACTAAAAATAAGATAGAAAAAGTATAAAATAAAATAAAATACTAAGTGAGTTATAATTTCCTTTATTACTAATATAAATATAAAATATTAAGTTAAGCAGTGAATCATAATAAGTCAAATATATATATATATATATATATATATAT